GCTGCGGCCGCGGCCGCAGCTGCAGGCGCCGCCGGGCTGGCTTCCATCTGCGACTCGGACACGGACCCACGCGAGCTGGAGGCCTTCGCGGAGCGGTTCAAACAGCGGCGGATCAAGCTGGGCGTGACGCAGGCCGACGTGGGCTCGGCGCTGGCCAACCTCAAGATCCCCGGCGTGGGCTCGCTGAGCCAGAGTACCATCTGCCGCTTCGAGTCGCTCACGCTCTCGCACAACAACATGATCGCGCTCAAGCCCATCCTGCAGGCGTGGCTGGAGGAAGCCGAGGGGGCCCAGCGCGAGAAAATGAACAAGCCGGAGCTTTTCAACGGCGGCGAGAAGAAGCGCAAGCGGACTTCCATCGCGGCGCCGGAGAAGCGCTCCCTCGAGGCTTACTTCGCCGTCCAGCCGCGGCCCTCCTCGGAGAAGATCGCCGCCATCGCCGAGAAATTGGACCTCAAAAAGAACGTGGTGCGAGTTTGGTTTTGCAACCAGAGACAGAAGCAAAAACGCATGAAATTCTCCGCCACCTATTAAACCGTTCACGCGGGGCTTGGTTGATATGACCGGAGACGGACCGATAAACTGAAACTTTTGAGTGGAAAGAGAGAGGAAGCGCGCGCGAGAGAGAGAGACAGACAAACACACACACACACACACACTCACACAAAACCCGAGCAGTCTCCCTCTCGGAATCCACCCACGCAAACTGACCTTGACCCCGAGACAGGACCCGCGAACAGCTCCCGCGAGACCTTGGCAGCCTGGGGAGGGGGAGGGCGGAGACTTTGGGGCAGGGGGGGGGAGGGGCACCGAGGGGCGAGGGCTGCGCGGAGTGGGAAGCAACTGAAGTTTTGGGAAGCCAACGGACTTCTCCTTCGGACTAAAGACTCTTTGGGGGGCGGGGGAAGAAATAATAATAATGATGATGATGATTGCTGGGAGACCAGGGACCTAGCCAAGCCCAGCGAGACGCTGCGGAGAATCCCGAGCGAGGGCCGGTTCCGCTTCTCTTTTTTTTCCCTTACCATTTGCAGATTTGGAAAAAAGGGGAAAAGGGGGTTTGGGAGGGGGCGAACGACTGGACGGGAAGGTTGGGCGAAGACAGAGAAGAGTTCATTTCTTGGGTCGGATCCCTGCGGAAAGCGAGGATGAATTGCAGTAGAAACACACCTAACACACACGCACAAACACACACACACAAGTATTGTAGACGAAACCACGAGGTCTTTTGAAGATTATGGTGATTATTCTGGTTATCCTGATCGTTACCAAATGGTCAATTGACGCGAAGGGAAATCTACCCGATGCGGAACAATGCTTTTTTTTTGTTTGTTTTACGTTATTGTTTCGTTTTCAAGCATGAGTATCCCTTCTCTGTTACGCCAGGGATTTCTTTCTTTTGAATTTACGAAATGAACGGCTCCTTAATTCTTTCTTTCTTTGTTCGTTTGGGATTTTTTTTTCCCCTGGAGAGGGGGTGAAAAACACGGCTTTGAATGGAGCAGGGAAAATGTCTTCATGAATTTAGTTAAGGACCCGCCAATGTATCCAAAGGTCGTTGCTATTTCAGAATTAGTGATTTTTTTCCCCTCCCTTGCTTCCACCACTCACCTCCCCAACCCCTTAAGTGTAGTGAATTGACGCCCGTTTGGAATTATTTCCATCCGCGGTTGGTTTTTGCGTTCAAGCGAAGCAACAACTACTTCGAATTCCTAAAAAGGTAGAGATGAAGTCCGACGCCCAAGTTGGCAACAGGGCGAATCGGATTTTGACCCCCTTCGTTAGACTGTGTTGCGAAATCCAGCACCGCTTTTGAAATGGAAACTTGGGTTGGCTATGAGGGTACCTTATACATACTTAGGCTCTGTGCGAGATGGCGGTTGTTTCCCGTTCATTCAACCGAGATGGAAGCTAAAATAACTTTGTCAAATTAATCCCGAATCGATTAGAGGTGGGGGAGGGGAGAATTCTTTGCTTTGTTTGAATAACTTTGGAGGGAGAGGAAGGGAGAGGCGAGAAAAAGCATTTTCCGCTCAGTCATAAACGCAGAGAAGCAATAATAATAATAATAATAAATCGAAAGCCACCGGTAGTTTTGCACCGTTTTAGGGGGGTTTTACCCCGCTCTGGAAGTCAGAAAATCTCGTTTTTGAAGAGTCACGAAGCAGCAGCCTTCGTGGCCCCTGAATGATGAAGAAAACCGCGTCGTAATTGATAAATGGGTGGGTGCAATTCTGAGACATAGTCAGAGCGATGCTCCGTGAAGGAGAGAAAGCGGGGAGGTGGGGAAAAAAATAAGTTGTCGCTGCTATAGAAAAGGGGTTAATTTCCGAAACGATGCTTTGATTTTTTTTAATGCAAACGACAGTCAAGGAAGGGGGGATGGAAAGGGGAGGGAGCCCGAGCTTATGCATGCACACCCCGAAAAGGCACAGAAACATTCAAGGGTCAAGTCTTTGGAAGTGCGTTTGTTTGTCGGTTTATTTACGCTTTAATAATTTATAACACGTGTTGAGTTTTTCTTTAAAGTGCATCGCCGTTTGCAAACCAAACATTCTATGCATTTGAAGCCAAGCACTAAAAAGTTAGAGTAGTTTCAAAAAATATATATGCCCCCCCCCCTTTTTTTTGTCTTCCATGATTTGTTTGGCATTCTTTGTAAATGGGTGTGATTTCATACAGTCCCGCTGTTTGTTCTTTGAGCAAAAAAACAACCCCTTGCACACATACACGCACGCATGCACACCTGCTCATACACACGTGGAGTCCATGTCACGTTACTTGCATTTAGGTAGGTGTGTGTGTGTGTGTGTATGTGTGTGTGTGTGTTTGTCTGTGTGTGTTTTAAACGCAGAGCAAGCAACAAAAGAGAAAGGCAGTTTGTAAATATTTTCTTTTAATGCACAGAGTGGTTAAAAGAGTTACAGCCACGTGTCACTGAATATCCCATGTACGTTCGCCGAGCTTTCTCCTAGGTTGAGTCACGCTGATGTTTTTTATTTTTTAATTTTTCAAAAGTTTTTAAGATCCCTTAGAGGTACCTCTGTACACCAAATCATACACTAGGGAGACGGATCCCAGCAAACCTACAAATAAAACCAGAAAGGAAAAACTCCAGAAAGTATTATTATAATTCATAATTTATTTGATTTACCTTGGAGGGGGGGGGTGTTTTCCCCCTGAAACACGGCTGCTAAATATAATACATTAATATCGAGGCTTCGAGCCCCCGAGGAGGAAAGACACTAAAACAAGCAAGACAAAAAGAGTCTACCAAAAACATTTTGGACAAATTGAGAGTTGTATTTTTCTGCTAAATTCAGAAATCCTTACTATAAGATAAATCTTATGTGCGAATGGATGCTCTGAATAAAATGAACTATATAATTAGCTGCGTGTGTTTCTTGACCTTTATTCGGTACCATGCTAAAATCATGGAGTTTAAAGTTTACGTCTTAAAAAAAAAACGGAATATTTTTTGCCTTTAAAAAGAAAGCCTCGATTTTTTTTCGCATCAGTAAAAATTACAGGAACTGAACCACGTCCCGATGAATCCGTTGCGCTTCGCGGCGAGATAACCACGCTTGTTACCCTTGCTTTCGTTCAATGAAAGTTGAAAGTTCCTCTAACGAAACTCACTTACTTGGTCGCCGGGCCCCGCTCCGCTAGGCGTTGCCTTTAAAGTATAATCCTAGCAACCCCGATTCGGTTAAATTTAGCAGGGACGGCAGTCAGCTCTGCAATTCTCTTTTCTTGAAAATAAGCCAGGCTGACAACCTTCAGGAAACCGAGGGAAACTGCAATATATAGGTATATAATTATATATTTAAAAGTCTTGTAAAGCCGCGCTAGATCAGATCCGTTAGCGCTGGAGGAGTCGGGCATCGGCGTCGTTTCCCAAAGAAATTATTAACTAAATCTGATGTAGACGCTATTCCGGGAACCTAAGGGAGAAGTAAAATCCGAAATTTGGATCGATTTCTCTTTGATGGTTTCTCTTTTTAACCGGATCAAGCTTCCGTTTCGGCCGTGAACCTGTGAACCAAGGGGACGGGGGTGGGGGTGGGGGGTGTCGTTGTAGCGTTGTCAAGAAAATTGTGACTCTCATCTCCCGCCCACAATTTTTGGCACGCGGGGAGGAATTGGGAACGTTTTTTTAAAAAAATTCTTTTTCCTCTTTTTGTTTTCTCCCGAAAACAAGCTTTTCTTTTTTTTTGGTTGTTATTAACTCGCAATGTCATCTGAAATATTTTTTAAATAATAACAATAATAAATGCATTTGTAAAATGACAATATTTTATACCTAAGTTTTATCGGGCATCTTTTTTTTCTTTTTTTTGGAGAATCAGGAATGACCAAATAAAATAAAACATCGAATCGTGCTTTTTTACTTTTGCTTATCTGCTCCTCTCTCCAGTGGTGGGACGCTAAGAGAGGCTGACCTTTGATCTCTTAAAATAAATACCATGAACAAGGGTATATATATCTGTTGGTCGAAAGGGAGGGAGGGCTTAAGATCAGCATCCATACCTATGGAGAGATACCGATTATGGTCAGAACAAATTACAAGCAGAAGGGTAATGAATAAATAAGAGATTTGCAAGGCCGCCAGATTTCATATTGATTCGTGATTGTAAAACACAGCTGATAGAACAGAACAGAACAGAACAGAATAGAATAGAATAGAATAGAATTCTTTATTGACCAAGTGTGATTGGACACCCAAGGGATTTGTCTGGTGCATAGGCTCTCAGTGTACATAAAAGAAAAGATACATTCGTCACGAATCATAAGGTACAATTATTGATAATTATTTGATGGGGTGGGTACATGTGCCTGATACAAGCCTATAGAACAGAAAGGAGCCTCAGCGAATTCCGGCAGGCTGCTCTCAGATATAAGTCTCTAGGCGTCTTGCTTTTAACCCTGAAGCTGGACTGAGGAATTGTAGGGCAGAGATCTAAAGGTAGGTGTGGAGGGCAGAGAGTAAAGGTAGGTGTGGAGGAGAGGGGTCACTTGAGTACAGGTACAAAACTTTCGTGTCTGAAAGTGCGATTTGAGGGAGGGAGGGAGGAAGAGAGGGAGGGAGGGAGGAAAGAAGGAAGAACAATATAATAGAGTTGGAATTCCAACGCCCTGCACAAGCAGGAAACCCTATACAATTTCAGACAAATGGTTGAATGAAGGGAGGAAGGAAGGAAGGAAGCAGGGAGGGAGGGAGGGAGGAAGGAAGGAAGGAAGGAAGGAAGGATGGAAGGAAGGAAGGATGGAAGGAAGGAAGGAAGAACAATATAATAGAGTTGGAATTCCAACGCCCTGCACAAGCAGGAAACCCTATACAATTTCAGACAAATGGTTGAATGAAGGAAGGAAGGAAGGAAGGAAGGAAGGAAGGAAGGAAGGAAGGAAGGAAGGAAGGAAGGAAGGAAGGAAGGAAATTTCTTTTATTTTAAAAGAGGCGCTCCGGTTTCCAAGTTTGAAACCATGCCGTTTCTAAACGCATCCTTTCCATTGGACAAGTGGCCGGATTCTTTAAGGACCAACTGGCGCCACCACGCCGGGATTCGAAACGAAAACATTTGATTGAGAAACGAGTTGTGTGCT